TTCTACCAACACAAGATTTCGTGTGAAGACGGAATATATTGGGTCACTCCTTCCGGTACATCCCCCACAAAGGGGTCAAAATTTTGAATGACTTAAATGCTCATAAAATGTGAAATAAGCATTCGATTTGTTTAAATCTCGGCATATGACAATATTTCTTCCAACACAAAATTTGGTGTGAAGATAGGAGATATCGATCCACTCCTTCTAGTACCTCCCCCACAAACGGGTCAAAATTTGGAATAAGCAAAATGCTCATGAAACACGAAATGAGCATTCGATTCCTTTCAAATTCCGTAAAGGCTAATATATCTACCAACAAATTATATGTTACGAAGATGATAGATATTGGACCACTCCTTCCGGTACCTCCCTCACAAAGAGGTCCAAGTTTTGAATAACCAAAATGCTCATAAAATGCGAAATAAGCATTCGATTCTTTTCAAATTTTGCACATCCCAATATTTTAACTGATACAAAAACTGATGTGAAGTTGGGATACCTGAGTCCACTTCTTCTGGCACCTTCCCCACAAAGGGGTCAAAATTTTGAATAACTAAGAACCTCATAAAACACGAAATATGCATCCGATTACTTTCAAGCTCGGCACTTCCCAATATTACTATCATAACAATATCTGGTGTGAAGATGGGATACATGTATCCACTCCTTCCAGTACCTCCCCCACAAAGGGGTCTAAATCTGAAATAAGCAAAATGTTCATAAAATGCAAAATAAGCATCCGATTCTTTTCAAACTTCACACATCCTAATATATCTTCCAACATAAGATTTGGTGTGAAGATGGGGTATATCGATCCAATCCTTCTGGTAGCTCCCCCACAAAAGGGTCAAAATTTTGAATAACCAAAATGTTCATAAAATGCAAAATAAGCATTCGATTCTCTTCAAACTTCACACATCCCAATATTTCAATTGTCACAAGAACTGATGTGAAGATGGTAGATATTGGTTCACTCCTTCTGGTACCTCCCCCACAAAGAGGTCAAAATTTTGAATAACTAAAACGCTCATAAAATACGAAATAAGCATCCGATTCTTTTCAAAGCTTACGCATTGAAATATTTCTGTCAACACAAAACCTGGTGTGAAGATGGAATATATTGGACCACTCCTTCCGATAGCTCCCCCACAAAGGGTCCAAAATTTTGAATAATTATGACTCTCATAAAATAAGTAATAGGCATCCGATTCTCTCAAAATTTTGCATATCCCTATATTTCCACCAACACAAGATTTGGTGTGAAGATGGGATGTTTCGGTCCAACTCTTCTGGTACCTTCCCCACAAAGGGCTCAAAATTTTGAACAACTAAAAAGCTTATAATACACGAAATATGTATTCGATTTGTTTGAAACTCGACATATGTCAATACTTCCATCAACACAAAATCTAGTGTGAATATGGAATATATCGGCCCACACCTTCTGGTACCTCCCCCATAAAAGTGCCAAAATTTTGAATAACCCAAATGCTCATAAATTGCAAAATAAGCATTCAATTCTCTTCAAATTTTGCAGATTCCAATATTTCTTCTAACACGAGATCTGGTGTAATGATGGCAGATATTGGAACACTCCCTTGCCGAATTTCAAATTTGTTCAATTTTAAATAGGCTATTTTTTTTTTTTAATATTTCTTTTAACCTCTTAAAGTTCTTTACTGAATTCCGTGTAAACGGTCATATTTTATTTGTGGTACTGACCTACATTATTATGTTGGGTTCTGAAAGCGTTAACTGTTCCAACCATGGTGTTTAGAAAACAAGATTTTGGTAGTTGGCTGAAAAAGGGGGAAGGATGATGTGTGCGTTGAATGTTTTTTCCGGCTGCTGCTGTTGTTGGTGTTCACTTTTCTGTTTTCTTGGTGTTGTTGTTTGTAGGTGCCACTTCCATGGCCATGTTTGTGTGACTCTGTAAATGTTGTGGATGTGTTTTACCATTAGTCTACCCTCCCTTGGCTGCTCGTTCCTCCGGTTAATCCTATACCCCCATATATTTACTGTTCGGTAACTTCGTTTCAAGGATTCGGCCGATATATTTTTTGTTGTTTTCGTTTCATTTTTTTTTTACTGCCTGACTCTTGAAATTATGTGTCTAAGGAAGCCCAGGGGGGAGGAGGGAACGACGAACAACCATCATCCTGTGAAACTTTTCTTTTGGGGTAGGCAACCAAAAATCGGCATCAGCTGGCTGCCGCTACTGCTGGGTAAAACGAACCTCAAACAATAAGCCGCTTTTCAGTTGGTAAATGGTATAGCAAGAGTGCGTAACTTATAGACGGCAAGATAGCTGAAGAAGTAGGCCGCCAGCCAACCAGAAAAAAACAGTTTTTGGATAGTAGACAGGCATCTTCTTCATCACCAGCAGCAGCAGCAGCCAGTCAGCCAGCCACCTAACCAACAGCTGAAGTAGTGATTTCTTATTTAGAACAAATGGTGTTCCATTCTGTCTTTTAGTGCAAAATAAAATAGTGTTGTGATACGATTTTTACTAACCCTCAACGTAGAGAAAGAAATATTGGTTTCCTAGATTACAATAACAACGAAAGAAACAAATATAATCACAAAAACAACAAACAAACCTCGCATACAAAATGTGTAAATATTTTGAAGAAAAAGACAATATTTCAAAGAATTATTTAAAATTAATTCTGATTTTTTTCTCATTTCCTTATTTTTTTTTTTTTTTTTTTGTATTTTTCATGAAATTTTTTGTATTTTTCATGAAATTTCAATATCTGTAAACATTCAAAAAATTGCATCATTATTTTTTACATTTTTTCATGTGAAAATATGAAAAAAAAAAAATTTATTTTTTTTAGTTTTAACCTTCTTTTTGATAAATGTTTCATATTTTTATTCAATTATTTTTCTAATTTTTAAATATTTTATTTTTTTTATTTCTTTAATTAATTCTTTAGTTTTAATTATTTTTTTTAATTAAATTTTAAAATTTATTTTTAAGTACTGTTGAGTTGTATTACTTATTACTTTTTTGTTTTTTAATTAAATGTTTATTTCTAATTTTTATTTTTTCTATTTTTTATTTAACTAATATTTTATTATTTTTTTAAATTAAATTAAATTCATTTCTTTTTAATTACTATTTAGTTTAATTTTTTTATTTAATAATTTTTACTAATTTAATATTTTTTAGGGTGAAATTTTAAATATTTTTTTATTTTTCCTTAAATTATTTTTTTTTATTTTTGTAAATTACATTTTAATAACTATTGTTTAATTACACCCGAGTTTTATTTTTATTTTTTAATTATTATTTGTTGTTTAGTTTTTATTTTTTAATTTTTTATATATTTTTAATAGCTTAATTTCTATTTATTTTTTATTTTTTCAATTAAATGTTAATACTAATTATTTAATTTTTTTTGTTATTTTTTATTAATTTTATTAAAATTTTTTTTTTAATTTCTTTATATTTTAATTTTGTAACTTTTTAAATAAAATTTTAATGTTTTTTTTTTTAATTTTTAAATACTTTATTTAGTTATTTTTATAACATTTTTGTTTCTACTTTTTAATTATTTATGTTTTTTCTATTATTTTTTATTCTTATTCAATTATTTTACATTAATTCTTTACATTAAATTTTAGTATTTAGTTTTTTAATTACTATTAAGCTTTATTTTTTTTTTAATTTCTTCTTTCTAAATTTTGCCACAACAAATTTGATATATATATTTTTTAATTTTTATGAATTTTGTAGTTTTGTTTATTATTATTAATTTTCATAGCCCTTTTTTAATTTTTTATTTTTATTTTTTTATTTAATTTTTTTATTTTATTTTTATTTTAATTCATTTTTTATTTCTTAATTTTTTTCTATTTTTTAAACTTTAATTAATTAATTTTATTTTTTTTAATTACTATTTGTTTTAATTCAATATTTTATAAAAACTTAAATATTTTTGTCTATTTTTCAATTATTTTTATATTTTTTTTAATTATCTTTTTATTTCTTAATTTATTTCAATTTATTTATTTTTTAACTAATATTTTATTATGCTTTTAATTTTAAAATATTTAATATTTAAATATTTAATAAAATCTTAAATATTTTAAATTAGTATTTTTTTTAATATTTTTTTATTTCTAATTCGTGTCTTTTTCAATTATTTTTATATTGTTTTAATTATATTTTCTTGTTCTGTAATTTCCTTATTTTTAATTAGTTTTTCATCTTTTATTTATTTATTTTTTAATTTTAATATTTATTTTTATTGTTATTATTTTCATTATTTTCAATTTAATATTTTATATTTTATTATTATATTATCGATTTATTTTCTCAGGATTAAAATTCATTTTTTATTTTTAAATAACTTTTTTTTATTAATTTATTTTTTATTAATATTTAATTTTATTTTTTTAACAATATTTTATATAATCTTAAATATTTTTTTTAATTAGTACTTTATTTTTTAATTTTTCTTTTTAAATTTTCTTATTTTTAATTCAGTTTTTATCTTAATTTATTTTATTCATTTATTATTATTATTATTTTATTTATTTTTTTTTTTTTTTGAATAGAATTTTAGTGTTTATTTTTTTATTTACTTTTATTCTTTTCTTTTCAATTTAATTCAATTTCAATTTTATTAAGTTATTTTTTTTCCCCGGATTCAAATTCAATTTTTTTTATTTTTTTTTTATAAATAACTTTTTATTTCTTAATTTTTTTACTTATTTTATTTTTTTCATTTTGAATTAATAATAAAATCTTATCTATTTTATTATTAAATCTCAGTTATTTTTTTTTTCGTTTTGAATTTTATAATATATTAAATATTTTTTTAATTAGTAGTTTATGTTTCAATTTTTTTTTTATTTTTTAATATTTTATTAAATTTTAATAATGTTTTTATTTATATATTTATATTTAATTTTTTTCATAATTGTTCCCAGAGATTTACATATTTATTAATTATTTCCTTTTCTCGATTTCTTCTGATTTCTTGCAGTTTCGGCAGCCAACAATACCATGCAGTATGGCCAGAATATATCCATACCCTATTCTCAGCCTCAAACCGATTTGAATTTTCTAAATGCAGCTGCCTCCGTGGATCACAAGGGGAAGATACATCCAAAAATTGAAAGGGATCGTGAAGAGGGTAAGTCATTTAACCGAGTGTAATTATTACTTAATATTTTGTTCGTTTTCAAATCATTATTATTTTATTATTATGAGTTAATGACATTTGACACTTGGTAACTGTGAAAGATTCCAAGCAGAATGGTCTCTCTCGCCTTGTCGTCGTCGTCCCCCTCACAAATGGTAATTATTTCTTTAATAATTACTGTAATTCATTTCATTATACATGGACTCCCGCATAATATACACACACACACGTGTGTATATACTTATGTATTTGATTGTATATATGTATAATTTACTACCACATTGAAAGAGTTTTTCAAGGCCATGCCAAATACATAACCAAAAAATGTCTAAAATATAAACGTTACTTTTGGCATAACTTTGGCTGGATTTCCATGTGAGAGAGACAAACACAAGAGAGAGAGAGAGTGCCTCTATGTGTGTGCCTTTATGAGAAATATTGTGTAGGCTCTCTGGTTAAATAGGCTACCGTTAAATGTGTTCATGTAACTTTTTCACTCTCTTTATCCCTTGTGCCTCACCCGGTGTTTTGTGAACTTGACAACGTGCTTGGTTACCCGGATATTTGATAATTATTGGGAAAAATGCTAGTTGTTGTAGTTGTTTGCAATTGATAACATTATTCCTCTTGGAAACAACGGGAAATGTTGTTTTAAAAATAGAAAAAATAACAACTTGGCAATAGTGCTAAGAGAAAAAACTTAGCTCTTCTCAATAAATAATTGAGTCAGTCAGCTGAGCTGAATTATACTTTTTGTTTAGTTTTTTTTTTCATTTTTTATATATTTTTAATAGCTTATTTTTTATTTTTTAAATCAAATTTTAATACTTATTATTTAATTAATTTTTTTGTTATTTTTTATTATTGTAATATTTAGTTTCATCATTTTTATTTATATATTTTCTATTTTTTTTTTAATTTTCTCAGGTTGAAAATTGTTATATTTATATTTTTAAATTGTTCTTTTTTATTTTTCTTGTCTGTCTTTTATTTTCTTATTTTTTATAATTTTTATTTTTATATTATTTTTTAATATTTTTAAAATTTTGTGATTTTTTTTTTTTAATTTTTCTAGTTTTGAATTCTTTTTTATTTTTTTTTATTTCTTTAATTTCTTTTTGGCAGAAGATAATTTAATTTTGAATAGAGAACTTTAATTCGGCTTTTAAAAAAAGATTAAATTTGATGACTTAGTAAAGCTTTAATTTCAATTTTTTTTAAGACTCAATAAAAAATCCGCTCAAACTTCGGAAATCTTAAACATTTGGTCAATATTAGACATCTTTAAGACCATAAATCATATATAAGCCAACGGGTTCCACTTCTAAACTTAAGCTCGACATAATCGTAATAACAATTTTAAAATTAATTTGTGTGAGAAAAATGAAAATATCCGTCGACTTCATGTTGTAATTCCTCCAGAAATGGTTACAATTTTGAATATCATACTGCCCAAATTATTTGAAAATAGTCCCAGACTTTCTTCAAATTTTACAGGGGCTTCCTGGCCAAGAAACGTGTTATTTTAAAGAAGGGTGGATTTATTTTTAAAGTTTACGACAAGGAGATCTTAGCTATACATCAAACAGAGAGTTTTTAAAAATATTTCACAACGACTTCCTGCTAAGAATAGTTAAGGACACCTGGTTAGTAGTCGTAAATTTTTAAAAATATTTTTTAAGGACATCCTACCTTAGAATCGTGGCATATATACAGGTATTTTTTAAGGACTTCCTGATGGGTTTTATTCAATTCAGGGACAAAAGTGTGTTTTAATTCCATTTTTCAAGAACTTCCTGACTTCACTGATTATATTTCTATGAATCGCTATTTAATAAAACATTTCTTTCCAGGATATCCTGCTCATGAATCATGGTTTTTTTAAATTATATTTTCAATGACTTTCCGAACAATAACCGTGGTTTAAAATAATATTTTTCTAGGACTTTTCGGCCAAGAATCAATTCAAAAACTTCTTGTACAAGGTCAGCCTATATCAAGGTCTGTCTGAAACAAAAGAACCTTCTGACCAAAAATTATTTCCTAAACATATTTTCACAAGGCCTTCAGGCGAAAAAATGCCAAGTTTTTAAGATTATTTAACATCGAGTTCAGAGATGGGCAATATCGGCCCACTACTTGTGGCACCTAAAATAGTTTACTGCACAGAAAGAGAAAGGATAATCCAATTTGGCTCCAAATTCTAATATTTGCCATCGAAGTGCGAAAATAGCCAATATCGGTTCACACCATCCAGTACATCCCCCACAAAGGGTCAAAATTTGTAACTAATAATAACTCTTATAAAATATGATGCACGTATCCGATTGTCTTCAAATTACACACATTACAATATTTTCATTAACGCCAGGTCTGGTGTGAATATGCGATAAACCGGTTCACTCCTTCTGGTACCTCCCCCACAAAGGGTCAACATTTTGAATTTTTTTTGGAGCTCATAAAACACGAAATAAACATCCGATTCCATTCAGACTTGGCACGTCTCAATATTTCCACCAACACAAGATCTGTTATAAAGATGATACAGATCGGACTATTCCTTCTGGTACCCCCCTCACAAAGGGTCAAGGTTTCGAATAGCCAAAAACGATTTTAAAATCCGAAATAAACACGCGGTTCTCTTCAAATTATTTATATATTTTTATTAACCCAAGGTCTGGTGTGAAGTGAAGATATATCGGTCCACTCCTTCTGGTACCTCCCTCATAAAGGGTCAAAATTTTGAGTAATCGTGAAGATCATGAAGATCAAAATATTCGACTCTTTTCAAATTTCACACATTCCAATACTTCTACTTAAGCAAGATCTGGTGTGAAGATGTTAGATATCGGGCTACCTCTTTTGGTACCTCCCCCATAAAGGATCAACATTTTGAATAATTATAGCGTTTATAAAATTTGAAGTCCGTGTCCGATTATTTTCAGCTTTCGCACATTTCAAAATTTCCACCAACACAAGGTCTGGTATGAAGGTTGGATTAAACGGACCACCCCTTGTAATACCTTCTGCACAAAGGGTCAAAATTTGGAATAACCATGAAGCTCATAAAACGTGAAATTAACATCCGATTCTTTTCAAATTTCACAAACCCCAATACTTTTACTTAAGCAAGATCTGGTGTGAAGATGGACAATATCGGACTACTCCTTCTGGCACCCTCCCCCTTTTCTCTTTTTTATGCCATCCACCATACTATGGAGGGTATATTAACTTTGTCATCGCGTTTGTAACTCCTCGAAATACTCATGTGAGACCCAACAAAGTTTATATATTCTTGATCAGCGTAAAATTCTAAGTCGATTTAGCGATGTCCGTCTGTTTGTCCGTCTGCCTGTTGAAATCTCGCTATCTTTCGAACGAATTGAGATAGAAGGCTAAAATTTTGCATACATATTTATTTTTCCAGTAGGCATGTTGAGTTCGTAAATGGGCCATGTCGGTCCACGTTTTCGTATAGCCGCCATATAACGGTATCTCCCGATATTCGGTATTTTGATGATTTTAGCGACATTATTCACCCGAAATTGTTTCAAATTTGGTATTTGAAGTTCGAAATGGATACTACAGCCTATCACAGAAAATTGTCAATGCAGGTCCAGGTCTTCGTATAGCCCCCATATAACGGTACCTCCTAATATTCGGTATTTTGAAGATTTTAGCGTCATTATTCACCCGAAATTGTGTAAAATTACGTATTTACAGTTCGAAATGGATACTACAGCCTATGGCAGAAAATTGTCAATGCAGGTCCAGGTCTTCGTATAGGCCCCATATATCAGTACCTCCCGATATTCGGTATTTTGAAGATTTTAGCATCATTATTCACCAGAATTGTTTCAAATTACGTATTTAGAGTTCGTAATGGGAACTACAGTCTGTGAGAGAAAATTGTCTATGAAGATCCAGGTCTTCGTATAGGTCCCATATATCAGTACCTCCCTATATTCGGTATTTTGACGAGTTTAGGTGCAATACCCACCGAAATTGTTTGAGATGTCCGTATTTGAAGTTCGTAATGGATGCTACAGCCTGTGACAAAAAATTGTCTATGCTGGTCCAGGTCTTCGCACAGCTGCGATATAACGGTACCTCCCTATTTACGATATGTTGATGATTTTAGCTACATTATTCACCCGAATTGTTTCATATTTCGTATTCGAAGTTTGTAATGGCTAGTACAGCCTATGACAAAAAATTACCTGTGCAGGTCCAGGTCGTATGGCCATCATTTCATCGTATAATCATCATTTGAAGGGTATTTTTCGGAATTTTTTGAACGTTTTCAAGTTCTTTCTAAATGGTTGTGGAGGGTATTAAGGTATTAGCTGCTTTTTTACTTGTTTTTTTTAATTCTTTTTTTTTTTTTTGTTTTTTAAGAATTTTTTTTTAATCCTGTTGACCAAAACTCATTCATTTTTAAGAATATTTTTACAAAGTTTTTCAAAAAAATTTTTTTTTTTTTTTGAAGGAAATATTTCAAGGACCCCTTACCAAGAATCGCGTTTTCTTAAATAATTTTTAACAATTTTTTTTATTACATACGACTTTTTTAAGAGCTTTCAATAGCTACGAATTTTTTTTAATTCTTGGCGGAATTTTAATCGATTGTCTTAAAAAAATTAAGGACTTCCCGGCTATACATCTATGGTGTATTTTTTATTTTTTTTGGGAATATTTATTCTCCCCTTTAAAAAAGGTAATTCAAGGGTCTTCTGACCGAAAATCCTGGAAAAATTGAATAAAAGCTATCCGAAGAACTTGCATCTCACCCCCTTTAAGGCTATCAAGCTATTTAATCGGCAAATCGTGACCAAGACATTTTTTTTTGGTTGTTGTTGTCTCCCATGACAACCAATTGTTTGTTGTTGTTGTTGTTGTTCCCCATATACTATTATATAATATATTGACCATTGTCCTTGGAGAATTTACATAATTGGCTGAGAGCCCCACTTATTGACAATTAATCCATTTAATCATGCTCCTGCCCATATCCTGTTCCTTTTTTAATTAAAAGAATTTCCTATGGCCACTTTTTTCGGCTTTTTTGCCACTGCCTCTTGTGTTCTAGAAACTGTTCTAACTTTTTCAAACTGACAGACATGACATTATTATTCACATTTTTTTCTCGAAAAAAAAAACATACATATATGTAAGTATATGTGTATGTATGTATGTATACAGAATTGTCAATTTTATTTCGGGGGTATATATATATATAATATAAAGATATATAAAGTAAATGGCCTTGAGCTATTAAATATATACTCTCCACACGCTCCATGCTATGACCATGGTAAATTGTTAATGTAGGTGTGTGTGTGTGTGAGTTTGTGAGAGTCTCAAAAGAATATCATAAAAACAACATTGTGATGGTGATGGTCCTAAAAGCGGAGCACAAAAAAATCTTATAGCCTGGGATTTATAGGAAGTAAATTACTTGGGGTCCCGCTTGGCGGGGAGTGGGGGTGGTGAGGATGGTTGCTTCAAAGATTTGCTCGTTTCTTAGGCCTATTTTTCTTGTCATCTTCTTTGCTTAGAGTTGTTGCCATAGGTTTTTTATATTCCTTGTCTTTGCCATCTCTCTTTACATTGGGGTAGGTTTTCCTTTGAATTGAATATTCAATTTCCTTCAAACACACACACACGCACATTGTTGCTGTTTTTATGTAATAATTTGTTGTTGTTTCGGGGAAATATCTTTAAAAATTCCTTTTGAGAAGAAGAAGAAGAAGGAATGTTGGTCGCCCAAAAGTTGTTGCCATGTGCCTTGGCTGGCTAACATTTTTTCCAATTAAAAACAGCAGCAACTCAAATATTAAATTGTTTTTTTTTCGTTTAGGAAAATATTTTAAAGTCACCCATAAACTTTTCATTCATTTCCCCCATTTTCCCCAACGGAATTCCGCGAACATCAAAGAAACCCTGACCCAATTTTCGTTGGAACGAAAAAAAATTATTAATTGCAAATATCTCTTGAATTTTTTGTGTCACGTGTCGCGGTTTCTTCTTGTCTCAGATGGCCAACAATCGGGTTTCGGGGAAATTTTTCCACATGGAAATTGCTGGAATTTTCTATTTTTGAAAATTTTAAAGAAATTAATTTAAAATAATACACCAATTTTAAGCTTTGGGGAATAGAGGTTTTTTTTATGGAAAAAATTCCTTGAAAAAATGTCAATTTTTATTAAAAAAAAATCATTTGTCAAAAAAATTTTTTTTTGAAAAAATTTATTTTTTTTTGAAAAAATTTAATTTTTTTTTGAAAAAATTTAATTTTTTATTTTTTGAAAAAATCTCATTTCTTTTTTTTAAATTTCAATTTTTTTTAAATATTTATTATAACCTTTATGGAATAGTGGTTGTTTGGGGGAAAACAAAAAAGATGTTGCATAAAAAAAAAAAAAATTTTGTCAAAAAAATTTTTTTTTGAAAAAATTTTATTTTTTTTTGAAAAAATTTAATTTTTTTTTGGAAAAAATTTAATTTTTTTTTGAAAAAATCTCAATTCTTTTTTTTAAATATTTATTGTGACCTTTATGGAATAGTGGTTGTTTGGGGGAAAACAAAAAAATGTTGCATAATTTTTACAACAATTTCAATTTTTTTTAAACTTTCTTTTTTTTAAAAAAAATTATTTATTTATTTCTTTTTTTTAATTTTATTTATTTATTTCTTTTTTTTTTTGAAAAATTTTAATTTTTTTTGAAAAAATTTCAAATTTTTTTGTCTTGTTTTTTTTTAAATTTCAATTTTTTTGTTTATTGTTTCATTTTTTTTTAAATATTCATTTTGACATTTATGAAATGGAAAATATTTTTTCTGAAAAAATATTTTTTTTTTGAAAAATGTCTTTTTTTGTTAAAAAAAAATAAATTTTGTTTCTCTAAAAAATAAAATTTTTTATTTGTTTTTGAATTTCAATTTTTTAAAATATTCATTGTTACATTTATGGAATAGCGGTTGTTGGGGGAATTTTTTTTTTTGAAAAATTTCAATTTTTTATTTAAAAAAATTCCTATTTTTTCAAAATTTCAATTTATTTTTTTAAGTGTTTTGAAATTCATTTTTTTTTTTTTGAAGAATTTCAATTTTTGTTTTTTTTTTAATACTCATTTTGAAATTTATAGTGGTCGTTGAGGAAAACAAAAAAATGTTTTTTTATTTGAAAAAAATTGTATTCTTTTTATTTTTTTTGAAAAGTATCAATTATTTTTATTTTATGAAATAAATGTATTTTTTTTTAAATTCAATTTTTTAAAAAAACTTTCTATTTTTTTTTTTGGAAAAAAGGTAATATTATTTTTTTTGTTTTTTGTAAAAATGTCAATTTTGTTTTTTTTTTTTGAAAACATTTCAATTTTTTTTTTTTTTTTTTTTTGAAATCAGAAAATTTTAATTTTTATAGTGATTGTTGGGGGAAACAAAAAATGTTTATTTTTTGAAAAAAAAAATCTATTCTTTTGTTTTATTTTTTCGAAAAATTTCAATTATTTTTATTTTATAAAAAAAATTTTTTTTTTTTGAAAAAATTTAAAATTTTTTTCTATTTTTTTTTAAATATTTCAATTTTTTTTTTTTGAAAAAATGTATTTTTTTTGAAAACATTTCAAATTTTTTAAAATCGGAAAATGAGAAATTTTTTGTTATTTTTTATATTTTCAACATTTTTGTCACAAAATCATTCAATATCTCACTAATCTCCTATTTCTCTCTCGCCTCTCCCTCTCTCGTTGCAGTTCTCAATCAACAAATCTTACAAAATGTCAATCAATCATGGCAAACCTTGGCCAATACCGCCAACACGGTCGACTACTCATCACATTTGCTATCCGCTACACTGCCAATTTCGATACAACACTTCCTCAAATATTCGGAAACAATAAAAAAGGAATCCTCAGGTATTGTCGGCTCACAAATTAACTCAGGGAATTTAAATTTGAGCAATTTGGATGCAACGTCAGGATTCAACATCAAGAATGATGTTCTCAAGAATGGGACAAATTTGGCCAGTTTGGCTTTGGGTGGTGTGGCACTGACGCCCAGTAACTCGGCGGTGAATGGCAATCATCATGCCCACAATGGTAACAATGGCACCACATCACTTGTCAACATGGATCATGGTGGTGGTGGCGGTGGAGGAGGTACCGCAGGTGGTGGTGGCCATATACAAAATTTAAATGATGTTCAAAACGGGCAAATTGTCAACAATTCAATGGCCACAAATGGCGTAGTGAATGGCACAGCCAATGGTGTGGCCGCCAATGGTACAACTGTGGTCACAAGTACCGCTGCGGCCGGTACGAATGGTACAACAACCACAAACGCAGATGGTACCACAACCACAACAGCGGCCCCCACCACCACAACCAAGGCCAAGAAGGGTAAAAAGAAGAAGCCACCGAAGGAGAAGAAACCCCGACCAAAACCCGGTGAGATACGTGAAACCAAAGCCCTGGATGGTTCAACTCTATACTGTTGTCCCGAATGTCAAATGGCCTATCCGGATCGCAGTCTAATCGAACAGCACGTTATATCACATGCCGTTGAACGGCGTTTCGTTTGTGATATCTGTAATGCAGCTCTGAAGCGTAAGGATCATTTGACTCGTCACAAGCTGTCGCATATACCGGATCGGCCACATGTGTGCAATGTAAGTTGGAGGGAAATGTAAAGGGAGAAGGAGAATATTTTAATAATCTTATTTCTGTTTTATTTTACAGATCTGTATGAAGTCCTTTAAGCGCAAGGAGCAATTAACCCTTCACATTGTCATACATTCGGGCGAAAAGAAACATGTCTGCATTGAGTGTGGCAAAGGTAAGGATAATTGAGGTTTACTTGGTTCATGTGTGGATTTTTATAAGGCTTATCTTAAGGAGACCTCAGCACCTTCTTGGAGTAGGCCAAGCATTTTCTTAAAGAATTTACAAGATCTTTAAAAAAGAAAAAGGAGACTCAGAAGTCGCCTGGTCGAATGGGACTAAATATTTATTTTTGAAGAAAACAATCAATTGTCCTTGAACAAAAACAATTAGAGTTCTTATTTTCTTATTGAAGATCTGTATGTATTCGTAAATGAGGAAGAATCTGGTCTTAAATGAGCGTAAACTATATTCTTTAGACAGAATACACCTTTTATTTGTGGATTGTTTTAATGATTTTCTTAAAGAAGACCAAATTTTTTCTTTAAGGGAATCAAATTATTTTCTTTAGGGCACCAAAATGAATGCTTAAAAGAGACATAGAGGTCTGTATGAAGGGTAGCAAATACCCTTTTTATCTGTGAATTTTTAAAGAGGCTATAGCACTTTCCCGAAGAATATCAAAAAGGGAATCGCACAGTTCCCTTCTTAGATGAGACACATAAGTCTGTACGAATGGGGTCAATTACTTTTTTTTTAAAGAAATGAAAAGGTTTACTTATGAGTGTTTTATTAAAAAAAAAACATGTCATAAAGGGCCCATATACTTGTTTGAAGGACACCAACAAGTTTTCTACAAGGAAATCAAAAAATTTTCTTGAGAGGTCTTCGCGAAGGGGACAAAATACTTTATTTATATGTAGATTTTTAAAGGCAATTGTGAAAGGGGCCTCAGCTCTTTATATAAGAAGACCAGGGAGTTTTCATAAAAGGTATTACAAGATTTAGAAACAAGGCAGAAAAAATGAGACACGAGTGGGGCCAATTACATTTAGTTTACCAAAACCAAAAGTTTTTCTTAAACGAGACCAAATAGACTTCTTATCATCTTATTAAAGACCTGTATATATTCTTGAATGAAAAAAAACTTCGTCTTAACCGAGCCTAGAAAATCATCTTTGAGAAGATTAACTATATTCTCTTCAAGAAAACTAAAGAACTTTTCCTTAGGGAAAGGTATTTCTTGAAGGTAACAAAATGCTATTTTAGAGATCGCATTGAGCCACTAAAGAATACGGGAAGATCGTAATCGTTCTTGAAGGTCTGAATAAGTCCCTAAAAGTGAACACAAGTTGTTTTTTAAAAAGGCTCAATGTTGTTAATATTAATCTCTTTTAAGGAGACCCAAGGGTATTTTTTTAACAGGGCAAAAGGCGTTGTTAATTAATATTAAATAGTCCTTATACGGTAAAAAAATTCCTATGAGTAAACCTCCCAAACAGGGCCTCAATGCCCCTTCAAAGACCATCTTAAAGTAGGACCAACTTAAATTGTCTAAAGATATCCGAGATTCATCTGAAAATGAGATTCTACAGACTTGCTGAAGGGAAACCTAAAAGTACTTTTATGCATATCAAAACGTCTTTTCAAATAGACCAAAGGGTCTTCTTGACATATTTGCCTTTTGACCGGAAACCAAAAGGCCTTCGGGAAACATAAACAGATAGTCAGCCTCCTACTCTAAAAGATGCGTACAAGTCTTCTTTAGGATACCAAAAACGGTTGTGTAACCGTTTTTAGGATGTCTGAAAACTTGGTGCGAGGCATGAATCAAAGCCGTGACACCATGGCGGCTCGCATCCGCAGACATATGTACAGACGTTTGTGGCATGCCAATATAGACGGCAATTCATATTTAAGTTCCCTCCACGAGCTGCCATGAATGGTGGTGGAAACTATGGCTTAATCACGGCCATAGAGAATAAAAGAGTGTGGAAAATCACGGTCAACGCAATACGAGAACCGAGTTTAGGTGTTTTCCATTTTTTTTTTTTTTGCTTTTGCTGGCAAAAGAACTCTTCAAGCCGGCCAATAGGGAGATAAATATACAAATAGGTTGTATCGCCGTAAGTGGGGCCATTTTCCCCATCACTTCTTCAACGAAGGCAAATTGGAAACAGTTGTAAACGACAAAAAACGTGGTGACAATGCCAAAAAAAATCACCTTTTGGTTGCCTTAGCATCAGAACGTTGGGCCAACGTTTCGAACACATTTTGCATGCATTGGTGATGATTAAATGGAGCAATCCTTGTAAATTTAATTTGAGCCAAAAGATAGCAAGAATTCTAAGAATAATAAAATTGTGGACACTTCATAGTTTTCATGAAATATCTTCATTCAAATATTTGAAGAATTTCAGAAATAAAATCGTGTTTTTTTTAAATATTTAAGTGCTAATGCTGATAATGCTACTACTCACTTTTATTTAAAACTTGAGTTTTTTTTATACCCTACATCCTGAAAAGCAGGGTATATTAACTTTGTCAATCCGTTTGTAACATTCCTAAATATTCGTCGTAGACCCCATAAAGTACATATATTCATAATCAGCATAAAAATCTAAGTCGATTTAAATTCGTCTGTCTGTCTGTCCGTCAGTGTGTTTGTCTGTTGAAATCACGATACAGCCCACATTATTTGACGTAGACCTTCAAAATTTGGCAGAATAATTTGTATGGTGTCTAGGATGGTTGGTACTGAAAATGAGATATATCGGTCCACGCTTTGGTATAGCCGCCATATAACCGTACCTCCTGATATTCGGTATTTTGATGCTTTTCGCCTGATTTTTTCCACGGATTTGTCTATAAATTTTTATATGTAAGTCATAATGGGTTCTAGTTTCATAGGCGGAACATTGCATGTATAGATCTACGTTTTCATATAGCCCAGATATAACGTATCTCCCGATATTCGGTATGTTGTTGTTTTTTGCCTCATTTCTCCACGGATTTGTCTAAACATTGGTATTTGTAGGTCAAAATAGGTACTAGCTCGTGTGGCGAAAATTGTATGTATAGGTCAACGTTATGGTATAGCCCCCGTATAACGGTACTTCTCGGTACCACTGATTTGTCTAAAAATTGGTATTTGTGGGGTATAATGAGTTCTAGCTCGTGTGGTGAAACAATGTACGTATAGTTCCAAGTTTGTGTATTGCCCCCATATTACGGTACTTCCCCATATTCGGTACTTTGATGATTTTTGCAACATTTTCCCCCGGATTTGTCTAAAAATTAGAATTTGTAGGTCATAATGGGCTCTAGCTGCGGTAGCGCAAAACTGTATGTATAGTTGCACGTTTTTGTGTAGCCCCCATATAACGGTACCTCCGGATATTCAATATTTTATTAATTTTTGCCACATTTTTCCAGCTCCGGTGGCAGAATTTTGAATATTTAGGTAAACGTATTCTTATAGCGCACATATAACAATAGGATTTTGATAATCCTAGTCAAATTTACCCACGAAATCGTTTCAAATTTGTTCTTCGTGAAAACAAGTTTAGAAAATTTACTTCTCGAGGAAGTCTAGACGGCATCCTCACGAAAAAACTCTTAAAAATTTCTCTTTTTTAAACTCAGAAGGTCTTCCTGCTATATAGAAGTTCCAAGGTTCTTATTTTTAATGAAGTCTTCCCACACAAAAGCAAAATGTAATTTAGTCCCAAATTGCTATTTTCTTTTCATAAATGTCTCGATGCGGGACACTTTAAAAAAACCTAAAGGAGCTACTTTTTATTTGTAACTCTTATTTTTACAAAAGTACTTTTGAAAGTGTCTTCTTAGAGTATAAGTTGAGAAGCATTATGTCTTACAAAAGACTGGAGGGCAGGAACGGAGGATATTCATTCAAAAATAGCCTGAAGGGCATCTTGTTATTGACCCAGTAGGTATTTTTCCCTTCAGAGAAAAGCATAAACCTTTTGTCTCCCATATTTTCTAAGGATGTTCTTTTTTTAGAAAATTTAAAAGGTAATTTCCCAGTCCGGGGGTGTCCTATTTTCTATGAGATTTCACCAGATGGTCTTCATACAGGTCTTTCTACGGAATATGAAAATATTCCAACGGGCTGGTAATTTCATATGCTTTCTAAATCAGCAACGTTTGGTGGTTCTTAAAAAAAATCTCGTTTCCACGGGGCGAGGTACCCTACACCACTTGATTTTTTAGTAGAGCTCCCGTAATAAAAGAATTTATTTGAAGTAGATCATACCACCTATCAAACTTTGGCTTTAGAGCAGCCATAATTTGGGTTCAGAGGGAACTAATATGCGGGAGGCATATCCGATTCAGAATCGATTTTCACCATTATTTACACAATATACCTGAAATGGGATTAAGGATATATATGGGAGCTATTTCCAAATCTTAGCTGATCTTGATAAAACTTGGCAAAGGTATTTCCGTACTCTATAATATATCCCGTACCAAACACCATTGTTGTCGCATGCATATTACGAATTTGAGGGATTTAAACACCAAATCGGATGAAACATATATATGGGAGCTATAGCTATATCTGATCCGATTGTCACCACATCTGAACCGATCTTAATACAATTCGACAGAGGTATTTCTGGGCTTTATTTGATATATGGTATCAAATATCATTCTTGTCGTGTGCATATTACGAATTTGAGGGAAATCGTATGAAACATATATATGGAAGCTATAGCTATATATCTGAACAGATTTTCACCAAATTTGATATACTTGCTTCTAGACTGAATACGGTCGGATGTGCCCAAATTCTGTTCATTCGGATTGATATCGGTCATTTGGTGCACAATTAACCCGAAATCGGTTTAATATATACATGGGAGCTATATCTAAATTGGAACCGATTCTCACCAATTTCAATAGGGTTCGTTGTTGAGCCAAACAAATATTGTTTGGAAAATTTCATCTCAATTGGACCCCTGCATTTTGTTCACAAAAATACATGGACAGGACATGGACGGACAGATGGACTGACAGGCTTAAATCTACTCAGAAAGTGATTCTATGAAGATCCTCAAAAATAATTATGGGTCTATCTCGATTCAAATGCATAAAGGTATAATACCCTTACCAATACGTGGTGTAGGGTATAAAAATAGCTTTATGTTGCTACTTAAAAAAACGCACATTTTTATAAACGTTAGTTTATGTACTTTGAAAAAAATATCTTTTGATCCTTTAAAAAAAAAAATATTTAAAATATCCTATTTTGTTTCAATTTTTTAATCATTTCCCTCCCTCCTTTCTTCCATTTCAGGTTTCTATCGCAAAGATCATTTACGCAAGCATACACGCTCACACATTGCTCGTCGTGTTAAATCGGAAGTGTCGGCGCAAAATGTCAGCACCACAGGCAGCAATGGCAATAACAGCAGCAATGGCAACAACAGCAGTAACCAGAATAGTACATTACACGGTTCCTGAGGTTCGTACAAGGACTTTTGGTAAACTGTTATAAAATTTCTAAACTGAAAAAAATGTATAACTCTTTTCTTAATATCGAGGTGATAATTTAAGGATAAGCAAATATTAAAAAAAAACAAAGTATTTGTATACGATAGAAGAGAGAGAGAGAGATAGGGAGGGGCAATATAAAGTATTTGATTTTTCGAAAACAAAACAAAAAAAGAACAGAGGAGAGGGAACAAAAGTATTCATTTGATTATCCTTAGATTACACACAGACAAAACATCCTTTACACACAATGCAGGTGTATGGATTGTTTGCGGCACAAAGAGTTATGCATTGAAGGAAATTTTATAAAAATTTACCGAATGTCCTGCTAAGCGATCATTTATTGGAAAAAATTAAAAAAAAAGTTTTTTATGATTTACGATTTTTTTTTATTTTTTTCATTATTTGATTGGAGTTAATTTTCATATCATTTTTTTTTTCTAATAATTAATTTTAATTTAATTACATACACAATTTTTTATAAAAACGAAAAAAAAACAACATTACATAAACACGCACAAAATTGCTTAACAACAAATAAACAACAAAAACAGAAAGATTAAACCTAAAACAAAAAACCCATTCAAAACAATTTGAATTAAGTCTACAAAACAAAAAAACCATTTAACTGAAATGATAGCAATTAAAATGTACAAAACAAATATTTACCACAACAACAACAAAACCATGAAGAAAAAAAAACAATAATATTTTTTTAAAAACAAATTCAAACTTGAAACAAAATATCCTTGTCGTCGTCATTGTCTTTCGAAATCGAAAATAATATTTTAATAATAAACCTCAACCAACATTGCCAGCTGAAAAGCCCACAACGTTAACATTTTTATTGTTGTATGTGTTTCTGTATGTCTCTGTGTGTGTGCGTTTTTCATGTCTACATGTGATGGTCATCATTCAACAACAACATAAACAAAATTAAAGTCATAAATACATTTTTTTCTTTTCTTTTTTGATAACTGTGATCTTTGCTGGCTAAAAAAAAAAGAAAAAAATTAAAGAAAAAACATCAAGAAATCATTGAAATTGAATTTTTTTTTTCAAAAATCATATTTGCTAATTATTCTCCATATAAAATAATATATATTTTTTTAAATCATCTATTACATAGTTTCATGTGCAATTCTTTAATATTTTTTTTTCATTTTATATAGGTTGCTTTTTGTTTTAATTTTTTATATATTTACATTAATTTTCATTTTTATAAAATTTATGTATTTCTAATAATAATAAATTTTATCACATATATTTTAATATATAACGTCATAAACTTTATTTTTTTAGAAAAGTAGTCTTATCCTTAGTCCTTATTCAAGAGAAATATTGTCTCCCTTGCAGCACCATAGGTGGAATTTTAATGTTTGGGTTTAGTTTTATTAAGACACAAAGGCTTTATATGCAAGTGACATTAAAAATATATTTTGATAAGTGCAGCCAACAGCTGAAACGTGTGGCAATATATGAGCTATAGAGCCCTATCTGTACAAGCTGTTCTCTGAGTAAAGTGGCCTGCTCACACATTATGTTGTCATTGAAACGCTGCTTCCCAAAGAAAAAAATTGTTTTTGTATTCCCGTACTGTTTTAATGGTAAAACCAGTAAAAGAGAGATATGTTATATTCGCTCTGAGAAAACTACTTTGCCCAGACAGTACGAGAATGCAAAAATAAGAAAATATGTCTAAATTAGATGGTGATATGTGAAGCCTTAAGCAGAAACATGTGACAATATATCAGCTATAGAGCCCTAATTGTACAAGTCGTTCTTTTAGTAAAGTGGCCTGGGCACATATCAAATTATATTGTCAATGACATGCTGCTTCCCAAAGAAAAATATTAAATATATATTCCCGTACTTTTTTAATGGTAAAACCAGTAAAAGAGAGATATGTCTTATTCGCTCTGAGAGAACTACTTTACCTGCTGTTGTTGAGGTTAGAGAAACAGAGGTTAGAAATACTTCAATTTTGTATAGCCTCAGCCATAGAGGCTAGAGAGGGTTTTTATCATCTGATACGGCCTAAACATATCTCATCGCAATAACGGTTTTTTAGACCCTAGGTCTCTTTGGATCAAATCCGTTTCAAGACACTTGGAGTCGATCTAGCAATTTCCGTTCATCCGTCTGTCTGTCTGGCTGGTGCACACGATAATTCTCGAAGAAAGTATCCGGTTTGATCCAAACATGGTTCATCGTAATATTATTATCAAACTTAGATCGAGTTCGGTTATGGACAATATAGGTCCACTTCTTCTGGTATCTCCCCCCACAAAATGTTAACATTTTCAAAGAAAATAATTTACTGCACAAAAAGAGAACGGATAATCCGATTTTGCTTCAACTTTGCAAATCCTAGGGGCGAAAATGGACACTATCGATCCACTCCATCCAGTACTTCCTCCACAAAGGGTCAAAATTTTGAATATTTATAACTCTTATAAAATGTGATGTAAGTTTCCGATTGTCTTCAAATTACACACATCACAATATTTTTTATTACGCCAAGATCTGGTGTGAAGATGGGATATATCGGTCCACTCCTTCTGGTACATCCCCCACAAAGGGTCAACATTTTGAATATTCATGAGCTCATAAAACACGAAATTAACATTCGATTCCATTCAGACTTGGTACATCTCTATATTTTCATCAACACCAGATCTGTTATAAAGATGGTAGAGATCGGACCATTCCTTCTGGTACCTACCTCACAAAGGGTCAAAGTTGTGAATAACCAAAACGATCATAAAATCCGAAATTAACATTCGATTCCATTCAGACTTGGTACATCTCTATATTTTCATCAACACCAGAACTGTTATAAAGATGGTAGAGATCGGACCATTCCTTCTGGTACCTCCCCCACAAAGGGTCAAAGTTTCGAATAACCAAAACGATCATAAAATCCGAAATACGCATCCGGTTCCCTTCAAATTACACACATCGCAATATTTTTATTAACCCAAGGTTTGGTGTGAAGATGGAATATATTAGTCCTCTCCTTCTGGTAGCTCCCCCACAAAGGGTCAAAATTTTGAATATCTATGAAGCTCATAAAACACGAAATTAACATCCGATTCCATTCAGACTTGGCACATCTCAATATTTCCATAAACGCAAGATCTGTTACAAAGATGGTACATATCGGACCATTTCTTCTAATACCTCCCCCACAAAGGTTCAAAGTTTTGAAAAACCAAACGCTCAAAGAAGGCGAAATAAACACCCAACTCTCTTCAAATTTTACACACACAAATATTTTTGCTAACGCAAGATCTGTAGTGAAGATGATATATATATGCCAACCCCTTCTGGTACCTCACCCACAAAAGGTACATACTTTCAATTTTGATTACCAAGGTATTCACATGCTTCATGGCTTGCTTATTTTATGCCAAAAAGTTGCATTAAAAGTTGAGCTATAGAACCCTTACTCTACATGGTATTGATTAAATATAGAGAGCTGGCCACATATCAACTCATATACATTATCAAAAACAAAAATATAGATTTTTGTGTTATATTATATTGAACCAAACAATAAAAGAGTTGATTGTAATTTGGGTATGCAAAAGAAAATAAAGTTTTGTAATAGATTTCAAAAAATAACCTCCATATATTGCATGTATAGATTTCAGCCTTGTTTTTTTTAATATAAAACCCAACATATCAAAATTACTCATGGTGCTAAACGAGACAATTATCTTTCCGATTACATTTTTCTTAAGTTCCCTCCATTTTTTCCTTTCATCATTTTAATTTGCAATAATATTTTTTTAATAAAAAAGAAAAAATATATCTTATAAGGCTTTTAATGCTTTATCTAATTTTTAAGTCTATAAGTTAAACTAGAAAAAAAAAAAAAAAAAAAAAAAAACAAAAAATTAAAAATTTTATTATAAGTCGAATCCAGTAAATACAAATTAATTTTATTTTTAAGTTTAATTTGAAATTAATACCAAAATTTCCAAAAGAAAAAAATAATATGACACAAATTGGAAATGATTACAGATCGATCAATGACTTCATCATTAAAGCCCTCATACATTTTTAACAAACAAACTCGAATATAATTAACTTGGAAGAAAAACAAAATGAAAAACCAACAAAGAGTTCAAATAAAATTAAAGAAAAAAATACCTCTAAAAGAAAACTAACAAAAAAACTCAGCAAACCACAAAAAAAAATCACACTTTGCTGCTTAAAAAATGTGAAAATAGTAATTGTTTTGTAATATTTTTAATTTGGTTTGTTATTTTTTACTTTTTTTACAAAGCCACAATATTTTTGAAGGTTAACACATGGGCTGGAGGAAAACAAACAAAAACAAGTAATACCACGTTTATATTACTCAGTTTCTATTGTCTAACCTTAATGAAAACGAGGCTAAAGGTGAGAATACATAAAACCCTTTTTTGAGTGGCTTAAGCCGTGGGCTGGCTTCTTCGCGAAATAACAAAGAAGCATAGGGCCAAAATCGAACTAAGACAACCTAAAATGCTTTTGTTTCTCTACAAAGAAGCCAGCCGATGACTTAAACCACTCAAAAAAGAGTTTTAGGTGTTCTCACCATAAGAGCAGCCACAGTATTGACATATCCTTAAAATTTTGCTCTTGTAATATTATATACCTTGTTTTTTTTTAAGAAAAAATACTCCCCGGCCATGTGTTAAACTCTCCAAATTCCTTCCCCTCCATGAAAATCAACAAATTTCCACAAATAAAAAACCAACTACAAAAGAAATAACTTTGAAAATGCAACAAAATGTTCAACAAAACAATACAACAACAACAAAATACAAATATTACCATTAATCTATATATAATAACAATAATAATAGCGTTTACTATAGAACAGAAAAAAAATCGCAAACCACAAATAAAAAAATATTTTGCAAATTTATAAACAAAACCGTTTCCTTAGAGATCGTAACAAAAATCTTTTTGTGACAAGTGGCCAAACCGCCTGTCTCCTGTAATGAACAAAAATAAAAAACAACAACAACAAAAAGTAAACTTCTCAGATTACCATTTACCGAAAAATTAAAGTTCAAATTACAAACAATATTTAT